CCATAAATGAAGCAAGCCTCGATACGCGCATCGCGGAAACGCCCCCTCAATTACTCGACACAAGCTTCGAAGCCTCGATACAGAACATCACATCACTAGTAACAATGATGACTGAACTGGAACTGGTGGATGTCTGGTGTCATTTTCATCCTAACAGAAATTTTACATTTGTGTCCCAAATACATGGAAGGTACACAAGGATAGACTTTTCATGTCAAAAAACGACATGTATAGGATAAAACAGATGACAATTGAATCAATCATTGTTTCTGACCATAGCCCAGTTATTATGAAAATGAATATAAGATCAAATGATAATTTAAAGATAAAGTAAAAAGACTAGAGAGAAAACATCAATAATATACATTTAAAAAGCTAAAAGAAGCTAGACAACAATTAGATGAGCTACTACCATACAAGGCAGAAGAGGGTCTCGGATATATTAATAAAAACTGTTATTGACCTTTCAGCTCAGAAAGGCACAGTTCCTAAGATCAGAAATTCAGAATTGAAACTCAAACTAAAGAAATATTCAATACTTATGTAAAATATTACAGACAGGAGCCTCGCGGAGTGATGCGTACTGTGCTTCAACATAATATTACCGTATTGTGTGTGTGTGTGTATAACCTCTTTTTACGTTTTGTGGATATTATACATGGTTATGCTGAGGATATGTCGGCCAATTTCCACTGGAAATGCCTTTTGGTTAAACTGTTAGCAAGGAATTTGCATTTGCACTGTTAATTTTTTATAAAACTTTAATGCACATAAAAAAACAGCTGCTTGTTTAAGTGAAAATACATTGATTTTTTTTTTTGCACTAATAAAGTTGTGGAGTTGTAAAGTATTTTGTCTAGTGTCAATTATATTGTCAGTTATATCTTTATTGCAAATTTTCAAATGTATATTGTGATAAATATTTTTGGTCATATCGCCCTGCTCTACTATGCACTGTACTAGCTATTGCCCAGTAAGACTAATATGTGTGGACTAAAACTTTTTAACATCTATTTTAGCCAAAAGAACCAAAATTATATAAAGAAGTTGAATTGAGGGGAGCTTTGTTTGTATTATTTTAAACTGAACGGTCCTATATCAGCAAATGTTGTCTTTCTGTGTTAAAAATGAAAAGAATGAAATAAAAAGTTAAACAGACGGTCCAAGAAGTTAACTTCTGGCTTCAGGAAATCAAAATGGTGATGGGCAGACAGCTTCAAACCATGGAGTCCCTCACAGTGTTTCCTTTATTATGTGCTTAGGAAAGCCAAGTAAAGAACTAAATAAAAGTTGCATTTAAAACCGCTTCAGGTTATTAGGAGTGCACATCATTTGAACAGTCTTTACAGGCCAAGCATATATCTCCATCTCTCTGTCTAACAGTAAGATGTCTGTGATATATAATAATCCAGAAACTTTAAGCCGAGCATCCCGAGGACTCCAAATCCTGCTTCCTTCCCTGAGGATGCCTGTGTGTAAAGTGAAGGCTAGGAGCATGCTGGTGCTCAGTCACCTGAGCAGCATAATAGTTCGAATGTGCTCGACAAGTCTCAGAGTGGGTCGGCTGATAGGATAGTGAGGTGGCAGCTTCACTTCAGAGCCCGACGGCATCACAGAGTATCTGCAGGACCGAAACAGATCTGAGCTGTCAGACTTTGGAGCATTTACACATTTCTTCTTTATAATAAGAAGTTAACGTGAGCACGTATGTACTTAGTGACTGTCGTGGCTGTCCTGAGCATACCTGAACTCCTCTCTGAAATGCGAGCGCAGGTGCTGAGCCAGCTGGCTGTTGTACTGCAGACAGGCCAGCAGGAGGTGGAGGCGCTGGAACAGCAGGACGGACTGAACAGGACTGGGGACCGACACTTGCAGGCCCGTCAGAACCAACACCACCTGCTGGACCTGGTAACCAATGAAGGAGAGCTGCGGGGATGGAGAGGGTCAGCGTTTGAGTTA